ATACTTTTTGGACGGGTTAGAGAGATGGAAGCACCGTTGGGAGAATTGTGTAGAGTTTTAATGAGACTGTGTAGAAAAAAAATGTCTTGTACCTTTGTTAGATCGGAAACTTTTCAAGTGACCCTCGCAATGTCTGTTGAAATTTCCTTGAAGAATTATAAACCATTTTTGGCCTGCCATCGAGAGACAAATGCTTTTTCTACTCCTACTACTACTGCTGTAGTACGCCTGAGGAAGTTTCTTTGTAACCTGAATATACTAAGTGTGTTCAAAAAGTAAGGTGACTTTTGTAATTGGGCGGGCTACGTACATTCGATCTTAGACATATTTTTTTTATTTTGGTACACATGTCCATAACATATGTTCGCAGTTTCAGCTAGTTCGCTTTTGTGTAAAAAAAGGAATATAGTATTGCAAAACACTTGAGCAAAAAAAATTATAACTTATTTTTATAAACTGTTCCAAGATGGCCCAGAAGACGCCGATGACGAACCTCGCTCTGGACTCCCCAGCACGTCAATAACTGTTGTTGAAAAATCGTTTCGTCATTATTAGAGAAGTGGCGGAAGACACCTCTATTGGCTCGTGCAATGATTTTTTTTCGTAAGTTTTGGGTAAAATTTGTTCCGAAATTGTTTAATTTAGAACAAAAGGACCGTCGAAGGACCATCGCTTGAACGACATCACTGATGATCCGGATATGCTCAAAAAGGTGACGAATATATGGTTATGACGTTGAAACCAAAGCCCAGGCGCCCAACGGAAGAACCCAGAATCGCCAAGAGCGACAAAAGCACGTCAATTTTGATTATGGTGGCGTAGTACGTCAAGAGATCTTACCACAAGGTCGTACGGTCAAACCTTGAAGTTATGCACCGTTTGCAAGAAGGCAGTAACAAAACCAGAATCACGCTTCAGCCACTATATTCACCCCTGTGAGTTTTCATGTTCTCAAAACTCAAGAAACTCATGAAAAGAAGAAGGTTTGGAACGATCGAAAAAACTTTGACACAAGTGTATTATATATTTGGAGGGGGGGGGATTACTTTGAAGGGGACAATATTAATTTTGATGAATAAATAAATACTTTTTGATAAAACTTAAAAGTCACCTAACTTTTTGAACACACCTCGTAAGTACTACCTACATATTTTCTTTTCAATTAATCATTTTAGTATACCGTACGTTAAAATGCGGACGTGCAAATGTGCTTTTCGATAGACTTGCGCAATTTTCATTTTCAAATGTCCCACACTCGCATCCAACGTTATGCGTCTAGACGTTTTAGTGGGATATATAGCAAGCGAAAAGGAAAACTTTCAAGTGTCAATAAGCGTATCCGTTTAAAATATGAAAGCTGAAAACTTTATTCAGTATCGGAGAGGATGCCTTTACGTGCGAAATAAATCGGGAATGTATCGAAACCGGTCGAGGCAGTTCTTTACGGCTACCCGCCGAAAGGCTTTTCTTCCAGTTTTACCAACCGGGGGTGTGAGTGATCCGCAATAAAAGCGATAACTCGCCGTTTGAATCGCGTGCTGTTTGTGTTTCCTGTTTAAATACGTGCCGTATTGTGTCGGTTTCCCGCTAAGTGGAAACGCGCAAAGGTTGAAAAATTTGGATCATGAATTAAAAAAGCGCTTGGACACCATTTTAATTAAGGAAAGGCATACCGTTCAATAAGTAGTTGGAGAAGAAAAATAATAAGTTATCTTCCACGCTGTTTAAACATCAGAAAATTTCTGAAAAATAGGAGCACCGCTTCTTTATTGTACTGGAAGTTTTTCGCTACAGATTAAGTCATTAAAGTCAGATTTATTTTCAGTTCCAATATGGCGACTCTAATTAGTAAAAATTATAGCAAAGTTGCCGACTTGCGCAGCAACATTGATACACAGTCAAAGGTATGAAAAATAACGAGAGAAATACATTTAATGGAAGAAATCAGAAGAAATGAAAGCTGAAAACGACAGTAGCTCTCGAAGATACTATATAAAGATCAATCTAAACATTGTAGGCAATCTTCGTTAACAGAATCAGGACTTCAAATATAAATATTTTCAAAGACACCTAACTGAGGAAACATTGACCAGATATGAAATTACAAATTGAGCAAGCGTAACAAACTCAGAACAGCACTTTTGGCAAACCGAAACGTCAGCGTGGAATGCAGACAATATCTTTGACAGAGCATAAAACAAACACAGAGAATAACTGCTCATGACAAATATATAGAAAAAACTACACACCATAAGAGGTGCACAATATGATATTCGCCGGCTGAGTAACACAGAAGCCTTCAGAGATGCGGCTCTAACCATTTTGATCGCCATCGCTCGTAGACTGATGGCGTCATAAGAAGTTTGGCTTCTCTTTCGTAAATACTATACCAAAGTTGCACACTTGCACATAAACTGCGATAAATAAGGCACCCATGTACCCATTTAAAACAAAAATGAATTTATAAGTATTATGGCACCATCAGTGTGTTGGTCTGTTACCTACCGGCATACACGATTAAGTTCGGTGGTTTTCGACTGATAGCATTCGTGTTTTGCTATGTGCATTATCCGGTCGAAATTATCAAAATTTATGGTTGAGTTGCGGCGTTTTTTCGAACCAAGGGGTTAAATATGGGTAATAACGCCCAGACAGATATCAGTTGGGCTTTATTACCCACCACTTGAATTTAATGAGACTTATTACCTTATAAATTTTTTAATTTTTCTCTACAGAAATATGGCAAGAAATGTCGCGGGTTGAGGGCCAATTGGACGCAGGACATTATGGAAGAAGCACTGTTGCTTCTAAGTCAAGGAAACTCCCAGCCTTATGTGGAAACAAGATATGGTATAGCACGTCGCGCCCTTAGAAACCAGCTGTTAAAAGAATTCTTGGCACAAGGCCTACCTTGAATGAAGCACAAGAAATTGATTTAGTTCGGAAAATCATTAAACTTTTTGAAGTAGGATTTCCCTAGACAACAAAGGCACTATGAAGAAGTGCATTCAAGTATGTTAAAAACCAAGGCATTTCTAGCCCTTTCAACGATGAGAAAGAAATTGCTGGAAATGACTGGCATAAAGCATTTATAAAGCCACATCCTTCTTTCTCTCAACAAAAGGCCCAGTCGATGAATTCTCCTAGGGAGGCAAAGCTTAATCCCTTCATTGTTAACGAATATTTTGAAAAACTTGATAATGTTTTCTAGCTTCAAACATCAACCTGTAATGATTTCCAAAGTGGATGAAAAGGGATGCAGACTAACCCTGCATCATCATCAGTCATTGCCAAAAAAGAGAACAAGCTAGTAAATCTGGTTCCTCCAGAACACGCTGAAAATTGAGCGATTGTTACCTGCGCAAACGCATTAGGAAATGCTATCCCACCCTTGATATTGTTTGAAGGGAGGAGGCTGAAATCAACTTTTAGTGACGGATTACCTCCGGGATCTCAAGTGAAGATGTCTCCAAAAGGTAGTGTCAGAGCGTCGAAGGACCACTCTGTTTTTGCTCAAGGAAGCAGTGGGCTCGGTCGTGAGTGAAATTCGTGGAATTGCCAAACTTAAAAACTTTACTTATTTTTGAACAAATCGTTTCAATGTGCCTGGCAGCAGCGTGATAATTTTGGACACATGCGTCCTTACCCGGAGATGTCTGAATCGCATCTTTTTGTCGGTGTGCGGTGTAACACGCATCCCTACCCCATCTGCTTCAACTGCGCGTCCATACACGGAACCTTTTGTCAATAAAGCAAATCACACACGTAACTTCGTTTTTCGCTCGAACAGGTAGCATGACCACTACCTTATTTATTGAGTGGCTCAGTCATTTTTCCAAGTTTATTCAACCCCCAGGTTTCTTGAAGATTAATTGTTGATGCTATCGCCCAACTGGGAATTCACTTATTATGCCTTCCTTCAAATAGCCCACATGAACTCCAACTCAACAAAAGCGCGTTCCATTCTTTCGAACATTTTTGGGACGGGGAGTTGTTGACCACGCATATGGCTCAAGTCTTCCCACACATCAAGAATGAGTTGAACATGTACCCGAGATTAATATTCCAAACGTTTCTAATTCAGGTAATGATGTGCCAATTGCTGTTCTAAAGAGTCGTTACTCAATCGAAAAAAAACAGTTTCTGAGAAATTCTTGCCATTTCTGATATGAAACCAGTCGCTGGAAAACAAATCAACAGAAAGAAATCATTGAATTACAGGGCCCAAGAGGTCACAAGATATTTGTTTTGTTAGATTTTAAATGGGAAACTTCTAAAGAAATTATTTAAATTTGATCATCTTCGTGGTCCCAGTTCGTCCTCCAGCAACGAGAGCAAGTTGAAATGAATACCAAGACCGTACGTCCAGAAGACCGTAATTTGGAAAGTTCAGAAGATTCCGATGTGAATTATGATTTGCCTCTTACTACCAAGTTAAAAGATTCCTTGTTATCAGTGAATTTACCTAGTACCTTGCGTAATGTGTGGTGAAAACAGAGTAGCAGGTACGAGGCAATGTAGAACCTGTAACTCTTGGATGCATGATGATTGTATGGGGTTCACTGTAGATGATCAGGAAACTGTTACATGTCTGGAGTGCAATGAGTAGTTTATTTGCTTATTATCCAATCCAGAAATAAAGGGAGTTTTATTACACTCTATGGTAGGAAATAACGGGCTTTCGTTTAAGTTTTTTTTTTAATTTAAATAAATATTGTTTGCAACGTTTTTGTTTATGGTTGGCCTTAATATCCCCAGCGACCTTAGTTGTGTAGTTACAACATAGCTAAGAAAATTTTTAGATGACGAAAACTGAAACAATAAGAGATGAACACAATAGTAGTGGTAGTCGCAAAAATTAAACATAGCTAATTTTGACTTGCTAAAATCATTGTTTAAAACTTGAAATAACTTTATAAAGTACAATGATGATGCAAACTGCAGACTTTAGCATCACCGCTTCGGACAAATTATGTCAATTTTAAAATAAAATGTCTTACCTAAATTATACGATTTCAAATAAGGTGCTATTGATATATGTTCTGTTGTCGCCGCGTTTTGCAAGATCATACCTGCAAAGAAAATTCAAATTAAGTCCCAAATGGACAACAGTTCGACTATACATGTAGACATACAAATATGGAAGCTAAGCAAGTGACAGTTAAAAATCATTGCTTCATTCTCAATTACGAATTTATGTGTTAAGATGGCACAATACTGTCGGCTGTATTGTTGTAGATAATACCCTTTTATATTTTGTTTTTATATTATATGAATATTTTATTATCAAAACATGTTAAATTTAGTTATTAGCTACCGATCTAAGAATATTTTTATTTAGGACTGCCGCTATATTAAATTCCGGTTAAACTGGAAGATAATAATAGACTACAAAAGGCGAGCCAGGAAAGTGCCATCAACTTTGCATTAGACTTAACCGCATAAATTCTAGAGCCACTGAAATTTAAACATATATAAAATAACCATTTCTAATTACTCCAAACGGTTATAGATATAAATTTGCGTGGCCTATTAAATATGTTTGATATATCCAAAAATGCAATAATATAATAGTTTGCGCTATATAACATTTTAATAATGCTACTTTTAGATAAAACTGTCAATATTTCTCCATGGAAAACATTTCAGATCGACTGAAGAAATTCAAAAATCTATGCAATCAAAGTTTAGAAATAATCGGTTTTTATAAATGTAAATCAATTGAAAATCAATCTTCCACGTTATACGGGAGCTAAAGGATGAGGAAAGGCATAAGATTGGCTAGTTGTTTAGAGATTGATAGGAATTCGCGGATTTTCTTTGGTAGAAGAATTTTAGTTTGGTTGAATAAGATTTGATGCTGGGTTCCACGATTATGTTCCGCAACTGCTGATGTGTTTATTTGTCGTAGTCTTATTGCTCTTTAATATTTTGTTACCATAGTTGATATTTTTCGTCCTGTCGCTCCGATGCTGTTAGTTGTTAGTGTCTCAAACGGAATTTTGAGGGATGAAAGATATTGGGACCTTTTTGGTCAAGTGGTAAATGTGGTTTTTCCATTATATTTCCTATATTATGTGGTCAATAATGTTTCGAATGTAGAGAAGGAGCAGAGTGCCAAGTGTGGGCTTGTGGAAGTTAATTGAAAGAAGAGCAAATGTTAGATGTTTTCATTCTGTCAATATTAATTCGAGTTGAGATATTTTTACGACTTTATACACAAGAGAGTTGATAACTGAGTTAATCAATGTTAGGTTTGATTTTCTATTGACAAGAATATCTAAGAATGGGACATTATTATTAGTTCAAATATTATTATTATTCTATATTTCAATGTATGTTAGGGTAGATTAGGGCTCTAAATAATAAAGAAAACCTCGGAGGAATTCTTGATCATGATACCAAATAACAAAAGTATTATTAACCATCTTCATGGTTTTGGTTTTAGGGGCAAAGTGTCAGGGGCTTGCATCTCAAAAGCTTCCACAAATATGACTGGTAATTATGGGAACCCATTAAATTTGTTCAAAAATGTTCCATCCAAGCATTTTTCAATAAAACAACATTTTAATGTATATGAAATTGCGTTAAGAGTTTCAGGAACAGGAACTCTACGTTGCAACTAACCAGAATATCGTTGAAGGTTGAAGAATTAATAGTGAGAACAATATGTCCTGGTTTGTGAACTTGAGGGTTGCAAGTTGCGAGTTCTTAGAAACGAAGAATTTTAGAGTAGTGAAGCTGACAGATTTCTTCTTATAGAGAAGAAGCTTTAATAGCACATTAGGGTGGCTTTATAAGGACGTAGGATCTGTTAAGTTGGCAATGGATCCGAAGAATGTCTTTCATAATACTCGGTATCATGACCTCTATCTGCCTTTAAAGTTACTATGTCGAGATTAAGATATAGGACATTTTAGAACTATGCGTCCAGGCCTTGGAATATTAGATTTACGTGCTTTGGATTTTTTGTTTTGTTTGTTGTATAGGATAGACTCGATGTATGAAATGATCTCCTCTTTATGGATAATTCGTGTGGCAAGGACAAAGTTGGAATCTTTTGCAAGAACTCAGAAAATTGTTATGATGAAAACTTGCCGCAGTGTTTGGTAGTTGAAAATACTTTGATGGTTTCACTTTGATGGTTTCAAATTTTTGAATGTGATTCCTGGGTAGAAGGTAAACGTAAATATTCAGCATATGTGAAAGTTAAAAATTAGTTAGCTTTCAGAATTTAAAAGCTTTACGTCAAATTTGATCTAAAATTAAAAGGGAATTTAAAGTAGATTTTTTTTTGACACAATTTAATTCCGTTATTGTTGAGTTTTTGAAATACCATATGAAATTTAATAAAAAAATTTCGACCAGAATCAGCTCAGAAAGCACACACTGGTGCAAAACCTGCAGGTCAGTTTACAGCCAAAATCAACTTGAGAAAGTGCTTTTACCGAAAGAAATTGTACCGTCTAGGCTCTACCCGTTAATACTAGTCGTGAGAAATCGGCATAATCGGGTTTATTTTTAACCGACGCATTTACTTTTACGTGCCCTTTCGTGGCCGTTTCCGTCAGCCTTTTTTGTTTTTATCTCAGAGTTAAAATCTAGACATTAGAGCAGTGTCGGACACCCGGAAATGAAGGGCTTCTTGTGTAGGTTCTCTGACCTAGGCAATTTCCGGTAGAAAAAATCGGTTGATCTTTTTTTTCCTTGACAGAGGATTACGTCCATTAAAACGAGAATTCGGTTTTTTGTTAGTCTGGTTGACGCTTTCTGAATTGTAACAATTTTTCATCAGAATCAACACGTCACGGTACAGACAGTAGACAAACGTGGCGGTTTGGAATAATTTTTATTATTTTTTAACTTAAAAAAAATATATTAGGCTCGAAAATCTTAGTTTATTTGGAAATAGCGTCAAAGTTTAATAATAGTATATTATGCAACAAGTGTGGTAAAAGGCATTTGCGTAGAGAGTGCTTAATAAACGAGTAACTTATAAAGTTTACGAAACGTGTAACATTAGGGTGCTTCATTTTTAGGCGATATTTTTTTTTCTCTGTGCTACCGGAAAATCTGATACTTTATAAAATTATACCGCCGGATAAAAGGCTTTGAGTCAACAAAAACGCCCAAATAACATAAAAAATTACTCTTCTACATATCATTATTTATTAATTAAAATTTATATTCGTTCACTAAATTTTAGAGTGATCACTGGATTACAAACATGAATAGTTTCCAAATGTCTATAATTAATTATTATTTCATTGTAATTAATATTTTTTTAATAATTGAATTTTAATTTTCTCTATTTGATTCCAATATAATTTTGGAAATTAGAAACTTGAATCATATAATAACTCAAATTGTTTACAATTAATTGCTACTTAATGTAAAAATAATAAATCCTAATTTAGAAATGATTTGATATCAATTATATGAACGTTTATTTTCACAGCTCTATAACTTAAAAGCTGTTGGTCGGGGAGAATGTACGCATAGGAACTTTTTGTAGCAAATTTTATGCTCTACAAAAGCTATACACGCGTTTTTCTCAAAAAAAAAATGTTCACTGAGTGACGTCTGACATGACCGTCGAGATTGACAAACGTGAAAATTCATGTTGTGAAACCGAAAACATCGGATTTCTCCCAAACCGTGGGTAATATCCAGGAAATGTTCGAAGTGGCTCGCATCCGCAGGTAACAAATCCGAGAAAGAAGTAGAAAAAAAGTATACAAATCTCTTTTTGTTACTTTTCCATTTAGTGTTAGTCGCCTTTCAGTTGGTTTTCACTGTAACCAATTTTTTTGATTTTTTGACATATAGCATAAGCTTAACCATGACAATTAAATTTTCTAAAATGGAGTCTGAAGAATCCAAATTAGTAGAAAATGTTAGGGTACCCAATGAAATTATTCAAGCAGTCACAGACGCAATATTTGACTTGTTGCCATCTAAGTGCCAAACACGATACTAACAAATATACCGAATTTTGTAAAATTGGTAAAAAAAAAATTATGTCTTGGAGATTGTTTTCACTTTCCTCACATGCAACTCATGAAAATAATGCCGTCATTCGAAATGTTACCTCCGAAGTGGCTTAACATGATTTTCGCAAGAGGTCTCACCGAATCGTAAAATCGCCAATTAGCTTGGTTCGCTCAGCAAAATTGGCAATCGGTTGCAAATATGTTTCTGCGCATAAGTTTTTAAACAGTTGGAAACTAGTTGTGGATAAATTTGTCTACGAATGCGAAATGTAGGATCGATTAATTGAGTGTCGACCTTCTAGTCAACATTAGCAATTTTCACGGAGCGGATCCCGAACCCATTCGGAATATGGTGATAAAGAAAACAAACGAATGTTTATGTCATATTGAAGAAAAGTAAATTTATTGCAGTTTGGGCTACGCTACACTACTCAATATAAATAATAAACTCGAACGATATTTAAATGCTGTGTTCCTGGTTGTAAAGATGACAATAAGCTGGTTAAAATGTTTAGATACTGTAAGTATCCAGTACTTTGTTACAGTGTATGAGAAATATCTGCCTAAGCAGAAAGATTTTTCTATTGACGTTAATTTGGAATCCTCATGGCAGTCTTTAATTATACAGATTAATTGTTTAGTAGAATAGTTATGTTTCCGAAAATAGAGAATGCCATGGTTTTTGACGAGTGCTCTCATATTGTCAGACATTTTTTGAGTATTTAGTTCTTTCGGAGATTTTTTTCTTTATCTCCTCAATCGTTCCGTTTTTGAATTTTAGGAACACTAACAAGTAGCAGGGGGCCATATCCGGTCAATATGACGGCTAAAGCAGGATTGTGATTTTAGACACAAGCAACGATGAGTGAGCAAGTGCATTATCGTCATGCAAAATCCATGAATTGTTTTCCCACAATTTCGGACGTTTTCTTGGAATTGCTTCTCGCAAACGACGAATAACTTCAAGGTAATAATATTTGTTGACGGTGGTTAGAAGTCCTCATATACTGCGCTACGATATTCAAAGGAAACAGTAAGCAAAACCTTGATATTTTTTTGAACTTGACGTGTTTTTTCCGATCTTCGCGATTTTGGGTTCTGGGACGACTGACCTTTGGTTTCGACGTCATATCAATGCTCATTTGACGGTCCTTTCGTTCAAAGTTAAGCAGTTTCGGACCAAATTTTGCTGTTACACATTTCATGCCCAAACTTTCGGTGCTGGGGCGTCCAAAGCGAGGTTCGTCATCGGCGTTGTGTCGGCCATCTTGGAACAGCTTGTACCACTTAAAAATATTCTTTTTGCTCAAACCATATGCTGTTGTCAACATTTCAAGTGTTTTGCAGCACCGTATTCCATTTTTTACAGAAAATTTTATACAAATACTTTGTTCCATTTTTCGTTCCACGTCCAACCCTTCTGTCTCGCAAAAAAAAATAAACGTGCAAACTGGCTGAAATTGTGAACATATGTTAGGGTCATGTGTACCAACGTAACAAAAAAAAATATCGAAGGTCCAATGTACATCGTCCGCCCAATTAAAAAAGTCACCTTACTTTTTGAACACACCTCATATATTCAACTTTTATGTTTTGATCTAAAGTTGTTGCAATTTCATGTGCTGGTTTGGACTTACTTGATTTCTGACGTGCTGAAAAATCTTATTTATAGATCTCAAATACCATCCAACATGCGCAAACGATTTTTTCGGTAGATTTCAGTCACTGATGATACGTTCTCAATAAATGTATTCCTGATGTTTTGCAAAAAATGTGTATGAAAACTAATAGTAGAAACAACACTTGCTCATGCACTCCGCTCCTTGCTAAAGTGTTTATCAAACTTGTTGCATAATTATCAGAGGATTCCTGTTTGTTTGTTACCGGATTTAATAAATTAAGGACTTTAAACATAAAACAAACAATTTTATTTTAAGAGACGCATTTACTGTTTTACTGTTTAAAAGTAACCATAACATTACATAGCTCGCGTCGCAGTTTTTTTTTCCTTAAATACTAAACTTAAAATAGACCCTGCCTTCGGCCCGTGGGGCTTTTATCTAATAGACGCCTGAATAAACCACTAAAGGTTTAAATAATTGAACATCTGATTAATTAATAGCGAAAAAGCGTGGGCGCCTCAGGCAAACTCCGAATCGATATCGCTTGCATATATAGAGCACGTGTAAATAGAATTTACAAAATACTTCGCATACCACGTCAATTCCGTTTGGTCGCTTCTGCATACAAATGCAAATTTCTGCAATAACTTGAGGCTGACCTAAAAATTGAGTTGGTATAACTGATCAGCGCAATATTCAATTATTTAAATGTACTTTATGTGTAGGTTTTAGTTTTTATTACGGCACATTTCCGATTTTATGTCCTCGTATGAGGTTCGTCGACTTGTAGGGCGGTAAGTATTTCACATTATCACGCTCCAGGATGTCAGCTTAGCCTCATCCTTATCGCGCGGTATCGATACAATATATATGTGCAGCCGATTCTTCGTTCTCCATGCACAGCCTGAATTCATCGTCGTTCAAAAGGTCGATTTTGAACATGTAAAGTATGAGATTGCAGTGGCCTGCTCTTTAAGCTGTTTAGGTTTACCCTGCCCGTGCATAAAAGAGTGTTAGTTTTATCTTTCTTCTAAAGACTAGTCCTGGTTATCGTAACCACTGTAGGTGGTTTCCCTTTGTGTTCCATGTCAGAGTTACCTTATGTCGGCTTACTAATATGGATAACGCTTCTGGCCAATTTCTGTTAGTTTTTGTTTGGTTTTGAAGAAGCACCAAAGTGACTTCAGCTCCTTCAATGTTGCTTAGCTATCCGTAAGTGATGATGAGATAATTTCCTGTGTGAGTTGCCTATCTACAAGCATCATTCAATAGCAACTTATGCTATAAATATGCTGGGATATGTACCAGACCCATCTTTGTCTCCGTATTTGGATATTCTATGTAGATGACTACTTCAATTCTTTCATTGGTCGTCCAACTCTCTGTTAATCAACGCCGTCATCGGCCACCAGTTGGCGGTCATTGTTATCTTGAATTTTAGAACTCGCTTCTACAAAACTGGCTAATTTAATCATGGCTAAAGTGCGCACTATTTTAAAGTTGAAACAAAGCAAAAAGGGATAATGCATTTTAATAAACTTGAAATCGTTAAGAAGGATTTTTCCTAGGTTCTCAATAATGCTACCAGTGACGTCATTGTGGTTGTTTACCACGCCATCGGGTGAATTTTTCTTGCAAAATCGCAAAAAAATAATTTGTTGACAAAAGAATAAAGGGCTCAATAACCTCTCAATAATTTTGGGAAATCCTGGCACTTTACGGGTTGCTCATACTAATATCTTATTATCTCGAATATATCAAATAAAACACAAATTTATTATTTATAATCTCAAATGATATTTAAAATTAAAACAACTTTTTGTACAATTAATTTAACGAGCACCAAATTTCGTAGATAACGTATTATCACTTATTTTTCCATTAAAATTACGTTTAGTCATTAACTCCATCACTAGTCAATTGTTGGAGACTAATTTTATTCACTATTGACGTATCTAAATAGTATAATTTGTAGACCCATTTAAAAAATGAGTAAAATATTGTTTGACAAAAATAATTGATTTAAAGTTATGAAGATTGCCATAAAAACAAATTTTGTTTTCATCTGAATAAACGCTACGCATCTTTCATGTCGTTTGATGCTTGCCAAAGTCGCTTGAATGCCCAGAGTTCCAATTAGTTTAAATTTGTTAAATACTTATTGCTTTTAAATCGCCTTATTTAAACTCGTAGTCCCCAGAAAAAATCGACTTTATTAACAAACTGATTCTTTCAATACACTTTTTACTACTTAAATAAGTCAATAATTATTAAAATGGATTAGTTTTCAGCAGTTCATTAGTTTTGGTTGGGTTGCAAAACCTAACTAATTTGAAAATTTGAAAACGGCTAAGTATGTCAAAAGCTAGAAATGTGAGTTACGGGGTAATCTAGTGCCCTCCGGATGTAAAAAAAGACAAATAATAACATTTTATTTTGATTTTAAATTTCATATGTGAAAATTTTTCCCAAAGTCCAGATTTTTCCTGCACGATTTATAGCCTAGCCATTTTTAACTACTCCAAGTTTATTAAAATGCGTTAAGACTTTTTGGAGTACGAGATGGATATGGACATAATTTAAGAAAATATTCGAAAACCCCCCACAATCCTTGGAGAGATAGAGCAAGAAGCATTAAACAAAAAAGATTTGTTTTTTTTTCTGTTTCAGGATAATAATTACGCCCCCTGGTGGCCATTTCTGAAACTCCAGAATAATTTCCATCATTTTGAATCAGAAAATTGCAATGGTAAGTCAATAACTTCAATTAAAAATTCTTTTTTTTTCCTCTTCAACCTGAATATCATTTCCAAAAACTACAACAACGCATTTGCGGTATCAATTTTGAGTAAGTGATCATTGGCATAATTATAAAAGTTAGTTATATCGGAATTAATGGATTCATTAATCCAAATTGGCATAGTCGTATATAAATGATATTAAAGAAGTTTTAGGTGACAGATAAAATTCTTCTTCTTATATTGATTCCGGGGTCTGTTCTTGTTCGATCTCTTTTCTTTTTCTAAAGCGCAGGTTTTATTTGTGATATGGGTTGCCAGGTATATCTCCGTCTTTTAAAGGGCCTTTCCGGTAGTCTAGTGTCCACTGGCATTGAATAAGATATAGTCTAAGAGATAGTCTATCGCTGTCCACTCGTGTTACATGCTAGTTTCACTTCTGTCTTTTTTGTTTTCTCCACCGTACGATATCCTGTACCTTACAGAGTTCTATTATGTCATTGTTGGGGATTCTGTCTACAAATATTTTCCACCCCATTGATCTCAATATTCTCACATCTGTTGTTCTAAGTATGGTTTTTGTTTCTGCTCCCATTTCTATTGAACATGCCAGTAACGGTCTTGCATATGACATATATGCATAATTTCCGTCGAGCCTCATATACTTGTTTTTTCAAATAACATCCATCAGGCAAGGTGGCTTTATTTGTCTGCTTCCGTACACTTTCTTTTTTTTTTAACTTTTTTTCAATACCTATCCAGAGCGCAACCGACCAGACAAGCCAATATTTTGGACGTAAAGAAAAAAAATAACCAACTACGGAAGTTTCAAAAAGCCAAGACAAAATCAAAACCCCTTAAATGAAGAAAAGGAAATGAATATAATTGAAAACGTATTGTAAAGTCCAACCACATACTTATGATCATTAGCTGACGGAACAAATGCTGGAAAAACTAAAGTTTTGGATAGTTTTTTTTCAAGCCATATCGTACCAATTATTTGAAGGACATGCCGGTATAAGAATACAATTTTGAAACTGGTTTATCGGAAAATGCAGTGAGAACATTAATTTTCCTTTGTCTATTGTTTAGAGTGACAAAACGAGAATTGAAAATTAAAAAATAACTCGGTTGGTAGTGGAGATATCACCATGCGGTTTTAATCAAAAAATGTTTCTCAAAAATCGAGCCCTTGGCGTGTAAGTCTAGTTGAGAAATATTTTTTTTCTGTTAAAACACTCCAATTATGACCACCCTAACCGCATTTGATTAATAAATACTCGCTGAATTTGATCAGACAAGAATGATTTCTCAAAGAAACTTCCACAGGCTACTGTAATACGTTTTACAAAACTCCTGGATTCCTCCTGCGTCGGTTCTTGCCGAGTCGAACTTACTAACGTTTCGCCAATCATCTTGTTGGCTTCTCCAGAGCTTATATATTGTTTAAGGGGGACCGAGCTAAATGAGGGGCATAAACACTGTCTCGGATGATTGATTGTCATATTGGCCACCTGAGTTGCGGTTAAGATTTTTAGGTTTTTTATTTCTATAGACTTCACGACACCGGGCATAAAATTTTATTCGATTAAACTAAAATTCTTGCACGTAATCAATTCTTCTACCAACGAAAAATTCGAGAGTCTTAACCGGGACTTAGGTCTCTACCTGTCACCAATATGGGAATCATCCGAGACGGTGTTTATGCGCATCATTTACTTCCGCCCCCCTCAAACAATATATAAGCAGGTATAGAGTAAAATGCGAGCCAGTTTCAATCAAGCTCTGAAGAAGCCAACAGCCAACATGACTGCCGAAATGTCAGCAAAAACCAACGCAGGAGGAATGTAAAAGGTAGTAGTAGCCTTTGGAAGTTTATTTAAAAAATTTCCTGGATCACTGCCATGTCAAAGTTTTTTAGTTTTAGAATTTGCAATTATTACTCATTATTTTTTGTATTCTTGCTTCTCCTAAACGCTGATTCTTACATTGCATTGTTATATTATTTTTAATTATCAAGTTAGCTACCATACCGGAATAATGATAAACAAATACAATAATACTATAATAATAATAATAATAATAATTTCACTGCAATCCCCATTATTTTGGTCCTTGGTAACCTGGGTATGTGTCAAGCTGATTTTGTCCTCAGTATTTTGAAAAAAAACAGGATGTTGATCGCCAATGGTGGTTTGGATGTACGGCTCGATGCCAGTACTCATCAGGTATGACTCGGAAGCTGGTCGACTGCCTATTTTGATTTGATCAATTTCTTGGTCTCTGTCCATCATTTTAGGGATTCTTATACAAATTTCTTGATCGGTTTGAATACATTGGAGAGACCGGACGAAAAATATCAACTAGGATCAAACAACATGAAAGTAATCCGAGACGGTGTTTATGCCCCTCATTTAGCTCCGCCACATTCAAACAATATATAAGCAGGTACAGAGTAAAATGCGAGATAGTCTCAGTCAAGCTCTGAAGAAGCCAATAGGATGATTAGCGGAGTGTTAGCAATTTTGACTCAGCAAAAACCGACGCAGGAGGAATCTAGAAGTTTTGTAAAAAGTAAGAATGATTTCATAAGACTTCGAGCACTAGAAAGTCAGGATTGATCATATCAAACGTCAGATTATCAGAATCAACGATATTCCGCCACATCTATTCAGAATAGTAATTAAAAATTTCGATAAAGGAGTACTTCTACTTTTCTACAGACTTGCTATAGCTGGCGCGATGTTGCAATCTTTTAGTGACGCTCGTCTCCTACGAAGTTTTCGACACCAAATGGCATAAATTAAACACCGAAAGTTTTGTATCTTATGTTTTCTCGTCGCGTTGAGGTAAAATTTACGCCTCTTAAAATTCTAGACGAAACTTTTAATCAAAGATATCACTTTCAGTCGGCTAAGCGGCGGACTAATCCGCGAGTTATCGGAAGTCGGTAATAAATTATAAGAGAAATTGTTTTCTAGGAAAACGGCGGGCACTTAATAACATGCTTAGAAAATTGAAAGTTAAATAAGGGGACAAAAAAAAAGGCTCCAGCATCTCACAGATTAATTTGGGTCGCGTATTAAGTTAATTAAAATGCAGTTTGTAAAAGTAATGGATTTCGAGCGAAATTTATTCGTCGCCGAAGATGGGCTAATCTAGGAACGCCATTTTTGCGAAACGAACGTTTCGCCGAGAAGCGGGAACTTGATATATTCCGAAATTAGTTTAAAATATATGTTTAAAGTGGAGGGTGCTTCGAAATTTCTAGGAGTAATTGAAAGATAAACACACCGGAAGAAAATGAAAACAGTGTTTTGAGCTTATGTCTTAAATAAACTTCGATCTCCATTGAATTGGGACAATTCAAACCTCCCGCCATTGGCGTATAACAGGAAAAGGAAAAATTCCAATGCAAATTTGGCAAAAAGGATTTGATTACATGCATGTAAAGAATATGTTTTCGTATTTAATTTTTTTTTTACAAAGTAAACTTGTTTTAAAAAATTTTCATTCAAAATTTTCTCTGTGTTTGAATGAAAGCTATGCCACTTTAAAGGTGGTATTTTTAAATAAATCGCAACTGATAAAAAACCAACATTAACATTTTTATCTGCTCGTAGGCAGTCACTACATCAAACCGGTCCAGCGTACTAGTAAGGAAATTGAACCACCAAATATATGAATATATTGTGATGTATTGCGGACTGCATTATTATAATTATATAAATATTAAATAAAATTACTCGTCAGAACCGTTTGCGTCTCTGCTACTACTATCATCCTATCCCAAGAAGTTTTTTTATTAATTACGGCTACGCTAATACATTCTTTCCAACTGCTTTCTGATATTAATTGCATCAATTATATGGGCGGACATTTTTGGGTTTACATTATTGCGCCTGACTGTAATTTCATTGAAATTTGGAACACATGTACTATGAGTCAAGATGCATTATTTAGTATATCACAATTATTTTAAATTTCACTTGCCTATTTTGGAGCCACTGATTTATCTTAAAATAAAAATTATTCGTACTATCTAAAAATTATTTTCGAAGAAATTTAATTTCTTGATTTTTTTCAATCTGATGCACGGTTTTCGCTTAGTAAAATAAAAACCGCTATTCTGCATGGTCATAACAATATCGTTAATGTAATGTTAATGTTAAGTCATTGTCTATCTGTTTTATTGAAATACTTAAAAAAATCGAAGTATTAATTTGAAGTACGTCAACATAAATAAATTAAATAAATTTGAATAAGAATCGTATATTATTTAATTTGTTGTTAGGATGTTATGTTATTGGCGCGCCACTAATTTACTTAAAAAAAAATGACATTTGCATTAATTTATGAACAGATTTGATCGGTCTCACGGTTTTTACTTAAAAATAATAACTAACTCCTTCGCATGCTGTCATATTAACGATATTGTTATGACCATACGAAGAAGAGGTTTTTATTTTTTTAAAGCGAGAACCGTACATCGGATTGGAAAAAATGAAGAAATTAAATTTTTTTAGAAATCACTGGCCTACCATCAATGTCTGCCAAAGTAGACTGGTGACGTTCCGTACGCGCGCTACTGGTGAATTTTAAAAAAATTGCGGTACGTTAAATATGCCTCTTGGTACATAGCATATGTGTACTAAATTTCATTAAAATATCTAGATATTAAAAAAACATATTTTTTGTTTTTGAAAACTTAGCCACCCTGTATCTCAAAAGTTAAGATATGAAGTTTTCTTTTTAAAATGGACCCAAAAATAGCCCCCTTCATTATTGATATTCAATTAGAAAAGAAATTTGAGTTAAACATTGAACTGAGGTGGCTTTTACTTGATGGAAATCCATTTATCAAAATAAATAAGAACTAAAAGTTCAGATTTTCACACCGTGTCTTTATCAAATGTGTTGTTGTCGAAACAATTGTCATGTCATAATATATAATTTCGTGAAAATCTGAACTTTTAGTTCTTATTTATTTTGAGTTAAACATTTTTGTCTCCATTCCACCAATAATTGGGTCTTTAGTAGGGTGCCTTTAATCGATTTACGCTTGTCGATATATAACTAAGGAGCACTAATTGTATTGTAAATGATACAAAAGTTGTTCAATAAGTCCTTAGAAAACAGATGGCGATCGTAGTATGGAAAATGCATTTTTGACAAATCAAAGCCTAACTGGGAGGTATTTCCAGTGTTTGTAACTATATACTACAAGTCTGAATCATATGGGAACATTTTTTATTAATGAGAAATCTTTATTCTGGGGATAACTTGTTCATCAAAATTAATAAAATGGATTCAAGAAAGTTTTTTTAACATTTTCCTTTTCCTGCCAAAATTGACATATTTTATAAATAACATTCTAAAATTACGTTATTTTCGAAAATATGGGAAATAAATTATAAAAAACTTTTCTTTTCGGTTTTCTACAAGAGTGACTTTATATTTGGTAATTCCCACTATAAAAACGATTTAGGTGGACTAGACTGAATACTTTAATAAAGTGTTTTTTATTAAATTTCTGTTAAACATTCGAATTCAAAGAATATCTTCAAGTGCATCCATTGAAATCGCCAATGTCGTTGAGAAGTTGGGAAGATAGTTTTAACATTTTTTAATCCAAATAAAGTTTAGGTAATATTGAGTGTCGCCATTGAATATAAAACAAGCAAAAAGTAAAAAATTAGCTATTGTGTCCGCTTTCTTAAATGCAGGATTTTACAGATTCCACGTTTGGAGGGCGTAATTTATCTTCCAAGGAATGGCCGCGGAACGTACCCCTATAATATCTCGGAAGCAGTCTTAAATGTCCCAACCCCGGAAACTCTGGGAAGCTATTATAATAGAGTAGCAAATTTTGGAGCTTAATGCGCGACCCTCCGGCCCTATCTTGTCCTTTCTTTGGTAAAATGTTGATAATGCTTCCTTAGCCGCGACACAAAGTTCTAAACAATCGCCCAATTACTCAACGGCTTGCCTTCTAAATAGGAAAACTATATTCTGCGACTGAATGGATCAAAGTCGTAGACATATGCCGTCGTCCTGATGAAAACGGCGAGGATTATATAAAAATAAATCTTGTTTTGATAGTCGAAATGAATATTTTAGTTTTTTTAAGTCTTTTTTGTAAAATAGACCGTCTGTGATCTATTTCAGAAATGTATATAGTAATAAAACACCATTGATAAAGAAAAAGAAAAAGAGCTAGAGCGTTTACCGATTCAAGTTTTCACCAATACCTGGGTATTTTACAGTGAAGCATACGATAAATGGTCATGACTTGCCTAGCCTATCATAAACGGAAGACCCTTTAACTTTAATTTTAACTAATAAAAAGCCAATTCACAAACGTTTCCAGTACAGGGGGGAATTTTTATTTTTATTTGTGCTTTGCCATTAGTGGTGAATGAAAGGAAGGAGCGATGTGATAAAGGCATGAGAAAGGTGATGCAGAGTGGATTCGCAGGGAAAGGTATGTCATGTATGAAAATAATCAGATTGAACCATTGCAATAGAAATGAAAAGAAAATGGTCGATTGGCTGACAGTCGTAAAAAATTGCGCCGATTTCTGTACAAAATCGGATTTAGATTTAAAAATATTGATAAGCGTAGTTGCATTAAAGAGGCCCAATGATTGGTGAAATAAAGACAAACATATTTAACTCATATTCATTAATATCTCGCAACAAAACGACACCTATGAGACTAACGAAAAGGTGACAAATTTTTTTATCGAACTGCATTTTGAATAAGTCTTGCATCTAGAGGAAAAAGAATATTCATTCTACACTGTGGCTCGATGGAAGGTTGGGTGGCAAATGCTTTACATAACAAGTAAACTCTATGAAAATTGGTTAAAAAAATTCCTTCTTCCAAATATTCCATCAGCCAGCGTAATAGTTTACGGTAATGCTAGTTATCACAGCACTAGCTAAAAGAGTATCAACGATCGGCACCAAAAACGAGGTATTCCAAAAGTTTCTTAGCTCAGCATGACCTAAGATTCTTATACAAAATAAACTAGTTGAAGTTTTAAGAACCAAATCCTATGATAAAACTTATTTCGTAGACGAGGTCATAAAAAATTTCGGTAATATACCACTTACATTACCACCTTATCAATGCGATTTAAATTTTATGGAAATAATATGATCCTAATTAAAAAACAGGCAATGCAAACATGCACTGTAAGTGGAAAATAATTATTAAAAAACTTAAGGACAACGTAAAACCATTAATAAAATCCTGTGATTATAGTGATATCTAGAATGAAACTATGCTGACTAACAATTTTAATTTATTATTTATATAATGATAAATATACAGTGCGCAATACAACAGAATGTGTTCATATATTTTGTGTTTCCATTTCCTTATCACTACCCTGAACCCGTTGAAGGCTGAATTACTCTGGACTGGTTTGATTTATTAGCCCAAAAATACGTACGAGCAAATAAAAATGCTGCTTTGACCCTGAAATGGTCTTCATGCAGTGGACTTCCCTATGGTGCCTGAAGCTAGTCTTGGATTTACAATAACTCTACTGGTTTTTTTGCCTATACGCATTCCCCGACGAATACAAGCAATTGAAGAGCTCGAAAGGGTATTAAACGTTATACAAGTTCATTTATTTTTTGTAAATTAAAAATTCTCTTTGTTTCTAAAGGTAAGTAAATTTTAATATACTACCTGGTTTATATTTCTCGAACAGGTGAACAAACAAAAATAACCGCTTCACAAAGTTTGGCAGATAGTTCCTTGTAATAAAAAGGTAATGACCTAAACTGCCATCCAGGGATGTTTCCAAATAATTCGTCACATAATAACGTTAACGTGGGGGAAGATTACTGAGCACGCCATGAAGCGATTCTTCTTTTGTAATAGCTTTACAGTGCCCTAGGAGGCAATATTCGAGATTTTAAAAGAGTGCGTACAATTGTTTTTAAAGGAAAATTATGTACAATGATTTCCAATCTCGGATCCCAGCTGTCTCGAAAAAATCAATAAAATTGGATCACAAGTTAACCGTAAATAAATTTAAAACAAAATTAATATAGATTTCTGAAAAACTTTGCTACAAAAGTATCCAAGCCCAGGGAACATTTCAAATACGTGGTAAAATTCGAAAACTTTCGTTCAAATAAAGTAATGGGATTTATTTGAACAAAATTTGACTTCCCTTGCAACGTGAAAAGTACCTACCGATAAAGACTGCGTTTCTACATTATTCAGTTATTGGAAAAGTTTTCGGGCTATTGAACGTTACGGAAAATTACAAGGATCTTGGGGTCGAAAACGATGCTAAACAAAACTTCATTTCCGAAATAAACGAATAACGACGCCATTGGATTGTTTTCGGTACAGCTTTGCCAGCCGATCTTAAATAAATATAAATAATTGTAGTTGATTCTAAAACGATTCTTGCGCTGACCTAACGTTATATACACTTATTAATAAAGCTAGCGTGTTGCAGATTTCGTGATCGAAGTCACTTTTTCATGAAATGACAGGCGGCAGAAATAAAAATGGCATATTGAATTTTTAGATACAGGGATATTTTTAAAGTTTTGCATTTTTAACCATCCTCTGTACTTCGAATAGGCGCAACCTTGGCTATCGAATGGTTTGGAACTTATAAGTTTTTATGTGTAAATTTTACTTTTTTTATGAAACATCCCAAATGTCCTTTAATAACTGTTAATAACTGTTAACTCAAAAACATATAAC